TACTTTTATGATTGGATCATCACTGTTATTATTAATAATTGTGATCGCTAATAAATTGTGATCATTAATAATGGGCAACACCATTATTCAGAGCAAAATAAAATGAATGTAATAAAACAGATTGCAATACATCTAATAAAAACATATATCATTAGTATTGCATATTGACCTGTATTAAACATACATTCAGTACAAAATAATAGAAAGAAAGAGCACAAAAGAAAACAGAATAAATGTCAATTTGCATTGGAAGAGTTTAATTGAAGTGAGATGGTACTATACTGATTTAGTAGTGAAGGAAAATTACTGGAATGTGTCTGTAGGTTTTGAACCCCTAGAATAAATTCTACCATCAATTATGTAGTTAATTGTGTCATGAATTAAAAACAGATGTGAGTGGTAAAGATGGTAGACTAGTAAAGGAAACAATTGACAAGTTGGTCTTGAAATTCACGTTTTGCAATTCTCAAATAGTGGCCTTGATTCTCAAAGTAATTATGGGCTTGTCTGGATTCTTTGGAGATAGCTCTGCACAAAATATCAAAAATTCTTTGTGGCTAACCAAGTTCCTCAACATTAATTACAGATTGGAAAGAAAATTATGAACAGGAAAAATGTATCATAAAGCCTAGACAACTTGAAAAAAATACAATCACCATCAATAATCCAGAAATAACTGTTATGACCGGTAACAAGAATAATAATATCTGTATTGAGAGTTTGAAGAGTTTATTATACCCAAAATAATTTTTGCAGCCTTTAGAAATTCTTTGATGTAGAGTTGTAGCCTTTATTGATTCATATTATTCCTTCTGAGGGTGAAGGGAACTAAGTGATTGCATTAAAATAATATCGCACACTTCAAATTGAACAAAGACCGATCAGTTCATTGGCTGTTTTGTTCCTTTTTTCTAGAATCTGAACAAGCAGAGAAAGAAATCAAGTTTGTGTTTAATCAAATATGCAAACAGACATTTGTTTCAAATACATCACCAACTTGTGTATACTGTATGTGTGCACACAACATAAGCAGTTTTTATTAACATGTCACTACAAAGCTGTTCTCACAGACCACGTTGTGATGGCTTAATGTTATAAAATTGTTTCACCAACTTGAACAGTAAGCTTGCAACTTTTGTACTGTATATACAGAACATAATGTACATATAAGCACAAAGGCTACAGTTATATTTTTTTCTCTTTAAATTAAACCCTAATTAGGAAACAGCAGCTGAAATGAACACCGACAGCTCTGCCAGCACTACCACTCAAACAGGCACCATGACCACAGGAACAGTTAACTCTACGACCACACCTAGTAGCAGTCCAACCATGGAGACTTCAAATGGCCTGTTATGGGGATCCCTGGTGTCAGTGTTCCTCTATTCACTTCTATGCTGAAAACAGACCTGCCTGACCAGGAGAACTCAGAAACTCTGTCTAAAAACAGAGGCATGAAGAGACATTGAACAATCGGGGAGGATCGCAGCATTCAAAAAAGGAATTCTGTTTCTTTCATTTCTTTTACATCCAGCACCTATTTTTTTTTAAGTTTGACAATTATGTCACAGCTGATTATAAAACAAAGTCCCCAATATCCTATTTTTTAGAATGTTCTAGAACCATCATTAATCAATTGCAAGACACTATAAAACTACAGAAATGACAAAGATTAAAAAGACAGAAGCACTTAGCAACAGGTAGCATTTTGCCCTAAAACAGATCCCTTTAAAGTGTGATGGAAGTAATTATTTAACTATTCACTGTGAAGTTCTAAATTACAGTATGTTTTGTTAATTTATTTTTAATTTCTGACAAGGGAAGATCATTAAAAAAAACTGTTTTACTTCCACAGACCTTAAGCACAAAATTGTGTAGTGCATGAAACTGTGATAGTAAGTGACTTTTTTATGGTGGATAATTTTTATACAAATCGAAATGTATACACAATTAAACAGATTATAAAAATGTGAAATTTCTCTTCTATATTTGACAGACGCATGAAGAACAATGCAAACAAAACACATACTGTATACTCTAGGATAAGACAGACTGATGATAATTAATGGGTCTAATACAATGACTACAACAAAGTTGTGTGACATATAGGAAATGGCAGAAATAAAACATTAATCATGATATACCGCCTTACACCACTTGCCAAGAAATGAAATCAGGAGTGAATGTCCTTATGAAACCAGTTTACTGCAAAATGTTAGAAAAAATCCTTCAAATAATTCAGACATTTACCTGAAAATAGCTGTGTTATAAATGTACTTCTGGAACAATTTTTCTTAACTGATGTGCACGTAGCCCCCATAAATAACTTTGCTAATAAAACAACTTGAAATAATTTGGTGAAATACAGTTAACATAGAAATAAAATGATGCACATGTAATGCGACAGATGAAAATGTATTGCAAAACAAAACTGTCCTTTTTTGCTACTGACATTAACCCACTAATACTTTTAAACCTGCTTGGCACACCTGGTACTAAAGGGGAAAACAGAGGATCTTGGTGGGACATAGCAAATGGGATTAGGGAATAGAAAATCTGAAAATGCTTCTGAACAGTTTAGGAAAGTGGATTTTGTACAGAGATAGTCTGTGTTATCTTCAGGCCCTTCACAACGTTTTGCAGGTGTATAATATCCACAGCTGTGCTGAAGCTTGGGAATAACATACTCTTTAACATTGCAGTTGTTGTAATAACTGCAACTGACTTCTGCCCTAAATTCCACATGCTCCCATTTTCACTGCTGAGACAATTTCAGATAAGTAACATCTCTGCTGAAGAGGTGTGTCTGTCTGCAGCAGAACATGCATACAAAAAGGGAGGACATATCATACTTCGAGGTACTAAAGTACCATTTTGATACCTGAGAACACCATTCGTATAATCAGGGATCATTCCCTAACAGCTGCAGAATTGTCACTTGCTTTAATGAGTATCTATCCATCCATTTTCTAGCTGCTTCATCCAATTCAAGGTTGCAGTGTAGATGGAGCCTATCCCAGCAAGCAACTGGCACAAGGCAGGATACACCCTGGACAGGACACCAGTCCATCACAGGGCACACACAGACACAAACACAGACACATTCATACCATGGCCAGATTTTCCAAAAGCCGTTTAACCTACCAGTATGTCCTTAGACCGTGGGAGGAAACCAGAGCACCTGGAGAAAAACCCACACAAACACAAGATGAACAAACGTCACACATAGCACCCAGGTCCAGAATTGATCCCAGGGCCCCAGCGCTGCGGGGCAGCAA